ACCCGCCGCGCCCCGCCCCCAGGATCGTGGAGAACCTGGGCATCCTGACCGGGCCCCAGCTCTTCTCGCTCAACAAGGACGAGCTGAAGAAAGTCTGCGGGGAGGAAGGTATCCGCGTGTACAGCCAGCTCACCGTGCAGAAGGCGGTCCTGGAGGTGAGCCGGCCGTGCCTCCGTCCTGCGCCTCCCCGCCCCCTCCTCCCTCAGGGCTCCTGGATTGCCTGGAAAGCGGGAGGCCGGGGACCCTGGCCTGTGGGCCCCTGAGCTGAGGCTGCCCCGCCCCCTCCCTAGAAGCAGCAAGGTGGGTCGGAGCTGGAGGAGCTCATAAGCAAGTTTCATTCCAAGACCCAGAGGAGGGTGGAGGACGACAGCTAGACCTGGCCAGCTGGGCCCAGCACACCTGCGGCTGGGGGACACGGAGATGCACCTGCAGAGAGGCCCACCCCCAGTGCATGGAGTATTATTTTTGTATGTGTGTATATTTTGGACCATGGACACGGGTGGTGGGTGGTGCTGGCTGGGAGCAGCTCACCTGCCTCATGGCACGTGGCCTGTCCTCAGGCTCAGCGATGCCTCAGCCCACACCCATCTGCCTGTCCCAAGGCCCACCTCCCCAAAACTAGCCACCTGGAGATGCCAGCCGCTCATGCACCTGCCCCTGAAGCCGGGGCTGCAGCTTTTCCAGCCCCGCCCAGCCCCCTTCCTGGCTTTCATGACACCTCTCCCTGAGGCCACAGAACCCCCAGGAGGTAGGCAGGGACTTATCCTTTGGCCTCCTATCCACATGGGGGTTCCTCCTGGCACTTGTAACCCTGGCCCCAAACCTCACCCCTGTGGCTGCTACTTCTTCACGCACCTGCACCTGCACACCTCTGGATGGGCTGTGGGCCAGAAGGGCACTGACCTCAGCACCCTGGGCTCTGAGCCCCCAGATATCGCCCACAGCGCCCACCCAGCACACTGCTCCTCAAGGGTGGCCTGGGGGGCTCCAGGCTTCCCTGGGGTGGGGTGCATGCTGTTCTCCCTCCACCCATTCAAGGAGCATAGATGGACTGGACAGGTACTCCTTCAAGTATGGCCTTAGACACCCCACACACACCCAAGGCAGAGCTCAAGATAGGAACTTTCTCCAACCAAGTCTAAGGCCAGGCTTGCCCTGTGTGCCGTGTGGGTGGTGGGTGAGTCTTGGAGCACTGAACTCTGCAGGTTACACCCAGAGATGAGAGGTGGCCAAGGTTCAAAAGCCATGTCATTAAACCAATTAAGTATCCTAGCAGCCATGTGTCTGTCTCCTGGAGATGGGGATGGGGTCACTGTGGGCCTGGAGCCCAACTACGATTGCACCCTTTGTAAGAACCACTGGGCAGAGGCCAGGCCGTGGACATTTCAAGTGAGGCCATGTACCCCTGACTCCAGTGGGGGTTCCCAGGAGCCCCTCACCTCCACATGTATCCGAGTGGGCCCAGAGGATATTCCTGGGAGGTGAGGAGCTGAGGGGGCCCTGCTCACTCTGCGTGCTGTGGCTCTCCCAGGCCAGATGTCCAGAAGGCCCAAAGACTGTAACCGAAGACGGGTGGAAGGCCCGGGAGCCAGGTCTGCCGGACCTCAGGGCGGGCCAGGGAGGGGCCTGAGTCTTGGCGGCAGGGCCGAAGCTTAGCCCCAGGCTGAGGGAGGTGCCCTGGAGAAGGGCCTTGACAGATACGGGACCAGGTTGGTGGTCAGCTCTGAGGTGTCAGTGCAGGAGTGGAGGGGTCCCTGAGCACACAGTGGGCTGCACTCTGCACCTCGAGGACACCAGACCACCAGGCCAGTGCCCACCTGAGCTCATCCAGGGCCCCACCCTTGGAGGAGGCCTCTGGCACCCTCTGCTGGCGGCTCTGCGCGCTGTGGTGTGGGCAGTCCAGGGGGCACCCTAGTACCTGGCCAGATGGGGGCATCTTGATCTGCATTTCCCCAAAGCAGCTGGGGGCCCCACCCTGGGTGAGGGTGTCTGGAGGGCTCATTCCTGGGGTCTCTGTGTGGTGGGCAGGGGCAACCACAGGGAGCGCGATGCAGAGGCTGTGCCTTGTGGGATTGGGGTTAGAGATCTAGAGCCGTCTGTCAGCTGGTCTGCCACGGAGCCAGGCCCAGCCCCCAGGCCTCAGGAGCCCCGACTCTAAGCTAGGACTGTCCTGTCCACCAGGACCCGGTCAGGGGGAGCTGGGCCACCTCTGGGCCTTGAGCACCATGGCTTCCTCTCCCCAAGAGAGGAAGGTCCTCCCCAAGCCCCAGGCCAAAAGAGGAAGGTTGGTCCTCCCAGACCCAGGCAGGACCTCGCAGACAGGGAAATAAGACCCAGAAGGAAAAGGGGAGGGATGGGGTGCCGGCTGTCCCTCCAGAAACCTGCAGATGCTCCTCGTCCAGAACCACCAGGAGGGATGGGCCCCTGACTGGACCACCCCCCACCAGCCCTATTTGGCTGAGCCCCTCCTTTGCAGCAGGGATGGGCACCCCCAGCTCCACCTGCTCTGAAGGGGGCCTCTGCTGGCCCAGTGGTGCTCACACTAGAACAAGCTCAGAGGGGCTGCTCCTGGTCATGACCCCACCCGGCAGGGCTCTGCCTTCACCAGGACGGTGGTGCTGGCTGGGCTTTGGGGACACTACCTCCAGGCTGGGTCGCTTATCCCTTGGGAGCCTCAGAACCTACACCTGTTCCCTTGCCCGTCTCTCCCTCCCCTCCTCCATCCCATCCACAGGCCACCACTGCTCTGTCCCCCTCTGTCCCCACTGTGCTCCCTGGACAGCTTGAGGAGGACCTGATCTCCAAGACCCCAAGCCCCTGGTTCCCTAGCTCCCGGCAGCCCTAGGCCAGCTCCCATTACCCAGGAGCTGCTGGTTCCAAGATGCTCTGGACCCACCTGTCTGCTGGGCCTCTGGGCTCCTGGAAGAGGCTTCCCCACCACTTCCTGGGAGGCGAGAGTGGTGGGCCCAAAGTCACATGGCCTTTAGGGTAGGTGTGAGGACATGAGGGCATCATTGTCCAAGGCCACCAGATTGGGGGATGACTGAGCTCTACCCACTTTGGCATCCTGGTGATCTCAGCGTCCATAAAAGTAGACTTGGATGAAGAACAAGGCCCAGAGGGTCCAGGTCACCTGCCCAGAGCCCCAGAGCTGGGGAGGAGCTGGGCTCCAGTGCAGTTTGGCCTGATCTGTGCCCCTAACCACACACCTCCTCACCTCCCACAACAGGCTGGCCAAGCAGGGAAGAGGGAGGGTCCGGTGGTGGCAGCCCCAGTGGTGGCGGGGACTGCAGAGGGTGTGCCCATGGGAGCGTCCCGCTGGGCAAGGGGGGTTGAGCTGCCCGCCCAGCGTCCACTCTGTGCCCAGCTCTGCTGCCAGCAAACATCCCCACAAACAAGGCCCGTCTCTGTTTCGGGCACAGGCATGTCTTTGTGGCCCTCCCCGGACCAGCTGCCTCCATTTGCCCCCTCTCCTACACAGGGCGGCCAGGAGGCAAAAGCAGCTTCTTCTTCTTTTTTTAAAGATTTTATTTATTTGACAGAGAGAGAGCACACACAAGTAGGGGGAACGGCAGAGGGAGAAGCAGGCTCCCCGCGGAGCAAGGAGCCCAATGCCGGGCTCCATCCCAGGACCCTGGGATCATGACCCGAGCCAAAGGCAGACGCTTCACCAACTGAGCCACTCGGCGTCCCCAAGTGGGGTCTCTTTAAGAAGAGTCTTTTCTTTTTTTTTTTTTTAAAGGTTTTATTTATTTATTTGTGAGAGAGAGAATGAGAGAGAGCACATGACAGGGGGGAGGGTCAGAGGGAGAAGCAGACTCCCCGCCGAGCAGGGAGCCCGACGCGGGACTCGATCCAGGGACTCCGGGATCATGACCTGAGCCGAAGGCAGTCGCCCAACCAACTAAGCCACCCAGGCACCCAAGAAGAGTCTTTTCTTTGTCCTTTCTATTTTACTTTTTCAAAATATTTAATTTACCAAGAGGTTAGTGCATAGAAGGGCTAGCACGAGGGGTAAGACATCCCTCACACCTGTATCAAGAGGCCAGAGATAGAATGGAGGCAAGAGGGGCACCTGTTTCCTGGACCAGGTGGCGCTTGGCAGGGGTGACAGCGGCTAAGAGAGGACTCACGGGAGAGGGCGGCACTGAGAAGGTGGCTCTGTGTCCGGAGAAACAGAGAGACGACCCTATGACTCTCCCCCACAAGCGTGAGAGAATCCCAGAGGCATTAAACCATTCACGTGAGAGGAAAATTATCAGGTTCCTGGAAGAAAATGTGGGAAACATCTTTGTGATGAAGCTGAGGAAGAATTTTCTGTGCAGCACTTCAAAATGAGCTGATGAGTTTGGCTTCATCAAATTGAGGATGTAGCTCGCCAGTGGCCCACGGGCATGGCTGACGGGGAGCCAGGGAGCCCGAGGCTTCGCCAACAGCGGGGCCCACCTGCAGCAGGCCTGGGGGGGTGCACTGTCCCACGGGGGCCCCAGACTCTTTCGGGGGCCCTGAGCTCTAAGCTAGTTTCCTAACAACACAGAAGTGTGTTGAAGGTTGAATTGTGCCCCCATCCCGCAGATTCATACAAGATAGGGTCGTTAGGTTGGGCCTTAATCCCCATGACGGCTGTCCTTGTAATAAGGACACTGGACAGGTGCACCCGTCACGGGAAGGTGGAGGCAGAGGTGTGATGGGTCATCTACAAGACGAGAAGCATCAGCGATGGCCTGCTACCTGCAGCAGGGGTATGAGCAGAGAGAACCAGCCCAGCCAGCACCTTGAATCCAGACACCGGCCTCCCGAATTCCTGCTACTTAAGCCTGGCATTTGATGGTGCTTTGTTATGGCCATCCCAGGGATGATACAAAGTGAGTCTTCGCCTTTTTTACCTGGCTATGGTATAAAAGCTGCCCTGTTGGGGGGGGAGGGTGCAGGGGCTGTGGGCTCCTTTGCAAGGATCCGGCTTGGCGGCTTGGCCGAGGACCCTTCCCCACCACACACTCCGTGGGGCGGGCGCGGAAGTCCCCGTGAACAACCATCCCTAATCTCACTTCATCCAGCCTCGGCCCCGAGCGGAGGCCGGACCGGCCAGGCCGCCCCAGGAAGCGGTGTGAGCCGCCCTGGCCCCTCGGGGGACCCGCCGGCCGCCATGCTGTGGGTGCTCAGACCTGGGATCTTGGCAGCCCTTCTCCCCAAAATGAACGAGGGTCCCTGTCGCTTCAAGGAAAACAGCGTCTTTGTTGCCATGGTGAGTCCGAGCCTCCAAGCTAGGAGTGTGGAGCCCCAGGCAAAACAGGTTTTAAGGCAAGTCTCACCTGCCCCAGCCCGAGGCTGCAGACAAGGGCAGGCCACACCTGGAGGGGCACACACGGCTGCACACAGGGGCCTCCCGCCACGGCCACGCGGGTAGGACAGTACGGAGTGACTCCTTCGGCCCCAGCCAAGCCTGCAAATGATGCAGCCTCAGGCCCCGAGCCAGAGCCCCCCAGCGAGGCCACTCCCAGATTCTTCTTAGTTTTTTGTTTTGTTTTGTTTTTTAAGATTTTATTTATATGACAGAGAGAGACACAGCGAGAGAGGGAACACAAGCAGGG